GTTGGCTCGCTTCTACCGTCGTCAAGGAACGAGAGGGGCAGCTCATTCATAGGATCCTTCCAATCGAGCGAAATTGTCGTTCCCGACTGCTGGATCTGCTCTAACCCACCCCTGCTGTTTGCCATAAGACAGGCAAGGGTTTAACGGTGGAGGCAGGGCACAAAGCGGGGGAAGGAATCAGAGATAACGGTTCGGTGGTGCTTTCTGAGCCGTGAATGCAGGTGAGGAAATTGCTTATCTTACACTGCTTAGAAGAAATTGTGGCAGTGTTTCAGTTGGATGGATAATAATTTCGCAAGTGGCAAGTATTGCCAGCACCCTTATACGCCAGAATCTCTGTGTTTAATATTTTCCATCGTAGCATCGGTTAATGAAATAGAATTATCACCAAGACTCAAGGTTTTGGAGGGAAGGGGGTGATCGGTTGTGTGGCGAGATCCGCCATGGCCCACTGGATGGAACGTGTACGGGCTGCCATTCCGTCTCAGCCAGTCGGCTACGTGACCGACGACTTGGGAAGAAGCCTGCCGATTTCCAGACAGCCTCTAGCAGGCATCACAGCATATTGTGGTGTGACTTGGGCCGAGTGGGCATGGGACGATCAAACCGAGGCAACGTCGGAAACCGGACCGCCATCCAGAAACCTATGGATGGTTTGTTTTCATCGAGGCCTTAGTCTATTGAAGTCGGAGACACGCTAGATCGCTAACCTTTTAGCTCCTTGTGAGAAATTTCCGAGTACTAGCTAGGCGGCACCACGTGTGGCCGGAGCGAAGAGAACTAATTTATCCATATGCGTTTTCTAGCGTCATCCTAGACCTTCTGATATGTAAGCCAGTTGTTTGCCTGTGAGACGACAAGGGTAATCATAAAAGGCATCAATTTTTGCCCGTAAACGGTATGATCCTCTGTTAACCTGAGTCATTTCTTTCTACTCTGGGCTGATATCCCTTGGCGGCACCATTGGCGAATATTGCGGTTATTGGATGAACTGACGGATAATTGACCCTCATGCACGTCCAAAAGGACCTTCCAAAATTTGATGTATGAATTCTTGGAAAACCGGAGCCAGGCGGTCTTGGCATATCCTCATGGTCAATAATAAAGCGCCTTCTTAGGCGGTCGTCGAGTATATAGATGTCCAGGTTGACATCGCCGTTTTCATTCGGACCAGCTCACTGCCGCCTCTCCACCTGCAACTTTACCTTCTTCAACTGTTAAAATCTTGCACAGACGACGATAAATACCGACAGAATGTTCGCCAAGAAGCTCGCTGTTGTGATTGTTTCCCTCGCCGCCACGGTGGCCGTGGCCGCTGTGCCGCCTTACTTCCAGTGTGGAGGCAAGAACTGGGAAGGAGAGACCGAGTGTCAGTCGGGTGCGTGAATATTCTCGATATATAGCCAATGTGCTGGTTATTGATGAGAAAGCTGACAATTGATTCTACAATATAGGATGGAAATGCGTCGAGCAGAACGAGTGGTACTTCCAATGTGTCCAGGACGACGGCGACTACTGTTAGAACTAAGCCAAGGATTGAGGAAGATGAATAAGAGGATGGCTTTGTATATCTTGCTGCCAGAATGCCGTTCACGGGGTAATGGTACATTGGAATGAAAATACGCGTGTGACGTTATAACGCGACATATAATACTACAATGCTGGAGATGGCAAGACTACAAAAATTTCCTGGGAGCCTAATCGAACTCCGTTTTACTAGACAACCAGAAATCTTCTTATCTTTTCGCCATCATGTGTTATAGTTCACTGATCACATGAACTCGTGAGAGTAAGGGCTGGAGATGTGGCGTATTATCTTGTCCCATATCCCGCCATACGCTACACCAGCGAGGCATTCAAGATTAGCGTTGGTGGACCTTGGAAGCTAACTAACTGACCCTAAGCCTGCTTTGGTTGTTTTCCTTGCCATCCTCCATTGACGACAAACGAGGTGACAGTCTGCGATAGTGATGCCTAAGACTAGAAAAATACCACAGGACGATGACTCTGCCCTCAAGATACGAGCTTTGATACAACATTTCGCCAATCCTATCCCGCACAAGACTCACTACTAATAAGCCACCCTCTCAACACACACCCTCCAGCAAGTCGAAGTTGTCAACACGTGGATCAGCGGTGACCGCACCGGCACCCAGCCCTCTCTTTGCGAAGCCTTTCCAAATCTCACATGCATTTTCACCGCCGGTGAGTGCAACGTCGGCATCAATTATCGCGTCTCGCGCTTGGACCATGGTTGGGTTACAAGGCTGGCTGAACATGGTGATCTTGGTTAGAATATTCTGTATACGAGAACGAGCTTCTTCAGGGACGGGATCTCACATTGCGAAAGCATCAATCAGAAGTTTCAGCATCAGAAACTTCCCATCGGTGGGGACACCATTGACTAGATCTGGCCGCGAAGTGTCATTTTTGCCGTGCTTGTTGATGAGATTCCATAGCGATTCGTATAGCATCGTAGCCCAAACCGTTCCAACTTCGTGTACCTTCGTAAGACCGTTGGCCGACGCATATGTGAACTCATTCACATCCATACTGGTAGAGTACATCCTCAATCGCGCTGTTGGGGGATCTGTCTGGTTAAGTGACCAAGCTGCAAATCCATATGTGGCTGTATCAGAAGTATCACTTGGCTTGATAGTAAGTGCTGCAGCGAAGATATCACTCCATCCTTCCGCCATGCCGTCAGCTTCCCAGGCATTAAGGCAACCTGTGGTGCTCGCTCCACCAGTGAGGCGATCCGACACTTTGAGCAGTCCAGGTCAGCTTTACCCCCAAGAAAGTCTTAACAATAACCTAATGAGTACTTACACCCATGCGTGTATTCATGAATAATAAATCCGTTATCAAACGCGCTATCTCTTTCTGGGTCGGTGTGGTTGAAGAGGTACATCGTGAGGATTCCTCGACCACCATCAGCCGATTGCTGGAAATTTCCGTTATTCTTCCCTCCAGCTATAGAGTTTAGCATGCTTCAAGATATGCAAAACACCAGAAATATTAAACATCACTCACCTGTTTGCAGGTTGACCTGAACTGGGTCATTTCCCCTCCCACCTTCACCATTGTTATCTTTCTGGTAGTTTCCAGCAGCTGGTGTGAAACCCAGCAGATAATACAGGTCATGGAGCATATTTGTGGTGTAAAATGCCTGCGTGGCTGCAGCCTCATAAAAATCGTCTGGAGTTCCGGCATCAGGCGTGTAAGGGAAAATAAAGGATTCATTTGGACTCCGAGCCTCTTTGAATGTTCCCGGTATTACTGGTACGGCTCCGGCCATAATATTGTTTCCTTCTGTGTCGTACATCCCACTGACAATATTCTTGGGGTCGTGCCAGCCAAAAGGCGAGGCAGTTGAGTCCTGCGGGTTTTCAACAGTTGTGCGCCCCCCCTCGCGGGGATCATTGAGTCCAAAGGGGCTGAAGCCGTCAGTGATTGGAATGCCTTGAAGAGGGAGGTAACTGCTTACTAAACTTCATATGACCAGTAATCAACATGGTCAAGAACAGCAACTACTTCTGAAGCGCCAGCATCGATATCCACATAGGATGAAAAGGATGTGTTCTTCACTATTGTCTGAATCTTCCACGCGAGCACCAATTTACCATCTGGCTTGACTAAATACACCTGTTTAGCGGTGGGTTCCGTTTCAGCACCTTCGATATTCTTAATAAGATAGCTTTCTTGCTCGTCAGAAACCGACTCGAAAACTACATCATTTGGGACCTGGATTGGCAACTCCAAGGTCTTACGAACAGCCTCTAGAGCCCCAACGGGATCTAGATTCTGACGTTGGCTCTTTGAAGACTTTGTTGGAAGATCTCCTTCAAAAAAAGAGTTTCCATATGAAAAGATGTTTCCTTCTTTGTCGATCTGGCGAGGTTGTTAGTATAAATCCCATCTTTGAGGAGATAGCTCGGGAACAAGCTTGCCGCGTACATTGACATTAAAGATGGCATTATCGACGTCTACATCGTGGACGGTTTGCTGAAGGAACACATGACTGAGGCCATTTGTTCCCAGATAGCTATCGTCCTTTACTCGAAATGTCGCATTGGGGGCGATGCGCTTTACCAGGTCGATGGCTGTTCCCACAGAGTCACCCCGTTTGAGCAGCTTGATACTTATATCGCCTGCTACATCGGAGGACTTAGTATACCTAGCTAAAGCTTTCACTCGCAAAGCATCGAGGTCGACTGCTCTCACCGAAGCAGCGACACCGATAGTAGCCAGAAGACAGTGAAACCGCATCGTATTAAGGAAAAGGTTGTTGTCAGAAATCACTAGCCCAGGAACGCCTAAGCGGTCAGCACAACGATCTATTTAAGCGCAAGCATGTTACCACGCCGTCAGCCGGACCCTTGTATGAAACTCGGCATTTAAAAGCCTCAGTCATCAAGGTAAGCGTTGTATTTCGGTAAAATATCCCTAGCTAATCAGGCAGGTGATTTATCACAGTGTCATGAAGCGGTTTGTGTATCAGGGGTTATTAACCGCTTGCCTCATGCTAACAGCCCGTCTTAGCCGTGGCACAGGTTGACAGGCAATCCCAAGGGCATCTCAACTACACCAGGTAGAAATTGACCAGCTGTAACGGTCTGGATGCTCGAAAGAATGAATTAGCACTTAGATTTATCCCCGTCTTTGGCGTTTCCTATTGGAACCCCACTTGGGGCTTGGGATAATATCACGACTGCAGAATGGAAAGTCTTCTCACACAGATTGAAGGTCGCCCAGATCCATGTGCTGCTCTCACCAGAATTCCGTTCCGACTCGGCGAAAGCCCTTCCACCTTCCACTCACGCCATCGATTGGCAGATTGTCGATCTTCAAGAGCTACATTTGTTGACGCGGAGCTATGGACATCTAACAACCAAAGAAATTCATTTACGACGAGTTCATGTATGCCTGCCAACGGCCACGGATAACTGATACCCTTCTCACCATTGTAATGTGATGATTTTAGCGATTATCTATATATTTTACAATTTTGCGCGTGGCAAAAAAGAAGATCTAGAATAATCTGTCATGTTCATGAAGAAGTGATTGCATACATCTTCAGCAATAGGCGTGAATTGATCCCCGAACCAGCCACATTTTGAGTGCGGTTTCATCATGCCATCTTTCACAAGGGGCGTATCGAATTCTTCTCCATCAGTCTTAAGGAATATCTCAAGAGCCTGCATGGAAAAATGTGCCGAAATCCAAGGCATTCCTTCATCAAGCCTTCGATATGTGAGGAGCTCAGTCTGTATTGTGGCCCAAAGAAGACCCAGCTTGGGCTCTGCGCAGTAGCAGCCGTAGTCCCCGCGCATCATGCAGTAATCCGCACCATCATATCCTTCATCAGATTCCACTTCGGCAGCGAGTCGGAGAATCTGGGCCATGCATGCCCACCCGACTTGACATTCACTGCTCCACTGCTCGATAATGCCCACAGGGACTGTCTGTATAAACTCAAAGGCATCCATAGATTTATGGTAGCATCGCCCGGGCTCCGCGATCCCGTACAAATCTTCTACAGACACGTCAAACATTTCCAGCACGCGTGTCTTTATCCCCACCTTTAATAGACAAGTGAGTGCCGCAATAACTCCAAATAATGTTTCTCCAGCCATACCGTTGCGTGCTAAACTGGCTGCGACAACAATGAGCGTATGGAGGGGGCCTAACGTAAGCTTCAAGCCACAATTACCGCAATAGCGAGCAAATAACCCACCCGATTCAACGTCAAAGTGGGATCCCCAGCGACTGAGTACGTGGCAAATCGCCTGTACTGAAGTATGGCAGAACGGGTGCTTCCACTGGGCCGGGATTCGGGCTTTGCCATCCTCAAAGAGTCTTCGAACAATGGGCGAATCGGTATCCCAACGGCCACATATATCTTTTTCTTCTCCCGGGAATCTAGTCATCTCTCGAAACCCAAGGCTGACATCCTGGGGATGGAGATTAGTATGCGAACTAAGGATAGATATCATGAGAGAATCGAAGATGCTATGCCCGAAGTTGTCAACACGGTGACGCACTGAGTTCAACGAATCCATGAGCTCTTCAAACACACCACAGCATGACTTGGCACCGTCCAAAAAGGCAATTGCGAGGTGAAATGGATAAATACTCTTTGCATCTTCTTCATCTCTCTCATCGAGTTGGGTAAGAAGAGATTGAATTAAATATCTATTACCTGCGATGATAGCAAGCTTCAGAGCATCAATCTCCAAGCAACGAGGATCTTGTGAGACGGAGGACGTAATTGTATTCATCGAGATTGGTAGATCTTCGACAGGAGTGTGTGAAAACGTGTGATTTTCAAGTGATTTTTGCATCGAATTGGTAAACGAGAGACTTGACAGTCGTTCTTTCGGCCACTCGGTCCAGGAGTCAGAATTTCGGATGTCAAACAGTTCGTCTTCGTTCGATACCTCCGAGATAGGCTCGTAGTCATAATGTTCAACATGAATTGCCCATTTACAAAGATTGGTGGGCGATTCACTTTCCGTTTCAGCCATAATACTGACTGGTGAGTAGGCTGAGTTACTCCTGTCCTGAGCAGGCTGGCTCATCTCAGTGCCTATCAGAGCAGCGATCATTTCAGGGGACCAGACCCGAGGTCCTTTTCCCCAAAATTTAGCTGTCACAAAGGAATGAATATAAAAGTCGTGGAAATAATTGTGAACAACCCTTCAATGGATTAGTAAAAGGTATGCGGAAGTGGGAGTGTATTTCGACTCACATGCGCTTATCCCGTTCCAAGGACGTAAGGAGCGCGTTAATTTGGCCTTGTAGCAACATGCTGGATCGATACTGGGCCCTCTCCTTCTCTAACAGTTGCATCGTGGGGGATGGAGGGGCTATTTCTTTGCCCGGGCTTATCGCAGCCGGGCTTTCGATGTTCATGTAGTTTGGTGTTTGCCCGCTTGTGCCAAAAGGAGACGGCTGATCAGCTTGTTTTTCAAATGTCTTGATCCATGCGGCATATGGCAAACTCCACGATGATAATCTGTCAAAGGCAAGAGTGAGTAAAGAGTTCTCCCGTATAAGAAAGTCCCACTTACACTCCCGGTGCAATCTTGCAGTTCTCGTAGGTTTGTATTTCGCTTTTGAGATGCCTTACAAGTTGTTTCTTGTCAATATGCTTATCGGAATTCCCTTGCTGAAGGGTAACGCTGGAAGTGCTCTGTCCAGGTCGTTGCCTTTTGCCAAGTACTGCTACGATGTCGCGTTTCTCTTTCCCAAGTGTACGCTTTCGTATGCCCCATTCTGTAAACCAGCGCTTGTACTGGGATTCTCTAGAATAAAAGGAGTGAGCATGACAATATCAATCAGAGCCCGTGAGTTCCGGGTTAAGAACGGAAGGTACTCACGCAGCATGGAAGTTGTAGTGGAGCTTCATGAAGGCTGCAACCTTGGAGTATGTCATCGCCTTTCCAGATGTATCGCGGCAGTCCATGTACAATGGGACTATCACGGGTTTGAGGTGCGTCCACCTGTCATTGTTGGGATAATCGAGGAACTTGGCCTCTTTTGACTTAGGAATTAGGTCGTCCGCCTTCATTATGAGCGAGCAATGCTAGAAGAAGCAAATGAAAACACTGCAAAATGTGGGATGGGGTGCGGGTTGGAAAGACAAGAAGCAGCTCGAAGTCTTGGGGGGAGATGGCTCAAATACCCTCCACCACCCAAAGTGCATTCTGATCGGGCTGTCGCACAAAGCAATGGGACGTAAGCAGAATGTCATCGCGGGACCTGGGAAATGCAACTCTGCATGGATTGACGCCACAAGTTTCAACAAAACGCCAGCGACCAACCAACGATGATGGCCACCCTCCATTGGCGGAAGCTGCATGATGACTTGGCGAAGGAGCGAGGCGTTTCCTGCAGTGAAAATTTTTCCACGGCGTCACTCAGGCTGATAATCTGTTACATTCATCACGCGCAGCCGTTTGGGCTGGCTCAGTGTAGTGCAAGAAACTGTTGGAGTATCGCCGGTCGGCGGCATAAAACGTGCTGAGCCAAAGCCACCGACATTGAATCTCAACAGAATACCAAAATAAATCAGCTAGTAATGGATTGATTATCAGGGCAATTATTATAAAATAGTCTATTGTTCACTTAATATTCAGGTTAACATTGCCGAACAAAGAATACTAGATCTGTCCACAGTTTCAGTCACTCAAGGGCGATCCGACCTTCACCAAAAGTCCAAACGCAACAACCACCAGAGGGTAGAAGATTACTGTTTTACAGACTTAATACGATGCAAGAAAGAGGGTTGCATCATCTGTCGGTAAGCAATCGTCCTCTCCGCCCCCTGATTCACCTGGTGGGCCAACTCTCACGGGCTGTGCATATGCATATGCATCATGAGAGCTAGTACCCAGAAAACTAAAGTCCACCGTCCAATCAGGACTACGGAATCTGTAGTCTGATTATAAAGGTGTCTGCCAAGACGCAACAAATGTCTAAGGGCCAATCATGCAACAGATTCGGTAACACGCCTGCTCATCACGTCCATCATCAGTGTTGTAAACATCTGTTACCACGGGTCACTTCACAGCTGGGTTTCTCTGATAGGTCATGTACCTGATTGAGGGCCCTGTGAGTCTGGGAAGATCCCAGCTTCCCGACCTTGCCGACCCATTGACGCTCATGGAGGCAAGATCTGCCCCTCAAACAAAAAGCCACCAGCAAATCAGATGCCGACTATCAATATCCTCACACACAAGTCAACTGATGAGCCCTTGCTTTTGATCAGAAAATATTACTAGGTTAGGCAGCAACCCCGTCTCTGTTTGACAATGTACTCGATATCTGTTGCCCAGGCCGGTCAAGGTGCAGGTATCCTATACCAGTGCTAGTATTACCTGAAGGGCACGCATTCGTATCACAAGTTCACTGCGCCGAATATGTAGAACGCCCTGGGCTTGAAATGCAAAATTCTCCTATTCATATGCTTCCCTGGGCCTACAAAAGGTGGCCATCGGCCCCAAAAGCTTTCCCCTCTACCTTCTTTCCTAACTCCAAAGCACCACCCACAGATACATTATTGACCTACATTCAATATAATCACATCTACACGACTCTCTCAGCTCAATTCCCTTGATACAAACTGGACATCATGTCTACTAGGTACGTGTAAAACTATCTTAGTGTTTGGCTAGACTTTGCGCTACACCCAACAACCCTTACACCTATGCCCCCAACGCCATAGGGTCAGGAGGTATCATCTAGCCTTTATGCTATGAAATTAGCCACTCATATCCTACTTCTCCCTTTCTTTTTTCAAATTTTCATTCGTCTGCATCCTTCACGTCGTCTCGCGGCAAGCTAGTACAAAAGCCAGAGCATCCGTCGCTAAGTCTAGCTTTGATCTATCCAATGTTCCACTCGAATTACTGGCCCTTTGTATCGTATACTAATAGTCAGAGGAACAGCGGTTGGAGCGTCACCCCAGTATATGACTCATCCGAGAATCGAGAAACCAATGACCCTGCCATACCAAAGGACTCTTCGTCTTCCTCGGTGGTTGGCCCAAGCGATCAAGATTTTGCATTTATGGGATCTCAATTCGATCCCAAACAGTAAGTGACCATTCGAGTCAAGTACTACATATGCCCACAAATCTGGCTAACTTCAAAACAGGCATGCCTCTGCCACGCCTGCGGCTAGTTCAAAACAGTCAACTTAGACAGAGTCTTGTGTGTCCTTCCGGCCCATCATAAGAGGGCTATTGTCTTTTTTAAGTCGACTAGTCAATATAGAAACCATTTGCTTGGGAGGGTTTGGGTATTTGAGGCATGCTGTCATTCAAATTACCTCGCCTAAAGGTAGTTCAACTGATAGCTTCAATAACTACTTCTCCAGCTTTTAAAATGCCATGGATACCCAACATATACTCTCATTCACAAGTAATTTTCTTCATGTGCCACTCAGGCGAACTACCATAGCACATCCACCAATGACAGAATAGCTGTTATTCGATGTGCTTTCCCGAAGATATAAGAGTTTAACAGCGATAGCGAGGCTTTGGCGCGCTCGTAGATTCGAAAATTCATTAAATTCCTCTATTTAATGCAAACCATAATGATCATATTCATATCAGCCGCCCAAATTGATCTGAGATGAGGCGAAATCTTCTCCCACTTACCGCACGTATAAACAAGGTCATGGCGTCTCAATACCCCATTTTTCAACATTAGATGATTACTAGCACGTGAGCTTAAAGTTCCTAAAATAGATAGATGAAGTGTGGGTAGCAGATTTACTGAATAATTTCATGCTAGGAACCTTAAAGTCTAGCATAAGAGCCAAAGAACACATGTTAAAAGAGCTGTTCGTACCCGAGGGTACATAGGTCACTTGGATGAGTTGCGGGTAATTTTAGGTCTGTGCTGTTTCAATAAAATATAGTCAGAGCTAGACTACCTAGCTTCAATTTTCTTTTCCATTCATTCTCTCTTTTACTATACGTTAACAAAACGCTAGCCCCATCGTTTCTCCTGCTGTCTCTCCCGTAGAGCCACCAGATATGCTACTTTTCTTCTTCCACTCTCTGTGATAGCTCTGTCTTCCTATAAAAGAAGAGGCGGAATAGTGTAGGCTTATCGATCCAGATCATTTCATCTTCCAGATCATTATCCGCTATTTCTATTTAGCGATTCGCTATAAAGCTTTAGAAGTTACCACTAAATATATCACTAGCAGCTGCGACCTATCCCATCCATTAGAATCCCTTTAATAATATCCGTCTTCTGGTAGGCCCAGTCAGTTTTCTTTCCCTGGTGACAACCGTAGGGAGGGTTATACTCTTTCCGCGGTCTCGTCAGATTGGTATAGTAACAGGTTTGGTATGCATGACCCCTGAATGTCCCAGGCTCTGTTTACGGCGAAAGAAGTGTGTGTTTGCTGTGTGAATCGGCTAGGTATAGGCACTTCTGCCAACAAGAGCGGATTTATAAGTCAAGAGGAGAGATGAATCAAATTCAGTCATTGCACTAATAAGAGAAGAATGATATTTAATTTACCCCTGTTGGCTCTTAAATACCGATTGACATGCCTAATTAAATCCAGTGTCCTCAATGGAACACAGATTGTGCTGTGTTGTGTACGTACTTTCCGTGTCTTGTAAGGATGAAAATGCAAAAGCGGCAATTATTTCCATTGACTCCATAGTAGCTATCGAGGCAAATATCAGATATTTTTCCAAGACAGCTTACCTCCCGGGTATTATTGAGGTTCTATACGCTCCCTTCGCCACCCCAGCCCTACAATTACGCGGCACATTTCAGGAAATTGCCCCAATATTGTATTGGACGTCGCGTGGTGGTAAGCTGGCCAGGTAATACAATTAGGAACTTGAGGGGGAAATCCGAGCAAAGTGAGGACAAAGTTCTAAAAATAACGCGTACAACGCGGATTCCATGCCGAGAAAGCAGATCCAAGGCAGAAGCAGCCAGTTGGAGAGCGCAAACGCAGACATCACGTTTCAGCGACCCATTCTAGGGCGCCTCATGCATGCAGTCATGGTATCCTTCCAGGCTGATACGGTGCCAATCAAGCATAACTGACTAGGGTTTCGGCAAGCAACAAGGGGGAAGTGACGTATCATTCACCGATTTATTAAACAAGCCCTTCCCTCTCAAACAAATTCCTTCATTACCCCTTCTCCAACAAAATCTAACCTCCTATGCCATTACTCAAGGCTTCCTCCACACTTTAGTCAGGAGCTTTGAATTACGCTTGGCCGCGAAAAGAAATGCATAACCGGCTAGACGATGCAAGTGAAATCTCACGCCACTTCCCACCCCAGAACTACGAGACCGATATCGCTCTTGGGGAGGGCTCATGGTACGATGACGCTCGGCACTCGAAGCTCCCACGATCGCCCAAGGGCAAGGCGTCCGACTCGCAGTATGAGGTTTTAGAGCAGTGTCGCGAGGTGAGGGACGAGGAGGTACCGGAGTCTCCGATCGTGAGATACAGACCGGGGATCGATACCTTCATAGCGGACTTTTTCGCCTTGACAGTGCCCATAGCATTTTTGATCTTCACGATCATTCTAGTGTCCAAGAGTGGCCAAAAAACCGATGTCGCGAGTATCGAGCAGTGGAAGAATGCGGCTTACGTTGTGAGTACCAGCTTGCAGAGATATCATGTCGACGGCCTGATTAACTGGGGATTCGCTAGTTATCGACATTATTTCCGCTGTTGTTTGCCGCCATCGTCGGTCGCCTGATGACCCAAGCCGCCCGATGCAAGCTTGAAAATGGCAGTACGATCGAAACTCTGGAACAGCTGATGGGAAGCAGAACCGTCGGGGGCGTCTTCGTCACACAGTTCCAGCTGAGGGCTCTCAACATCCTTGGTTTTGCCCTCCTGCTGCTATGGTGCATTTCACCGCTCGGTGCGCAATCAATACTTCGCCTGGTGGAAGTGGGAAGTGCAGCGGAAACAGCGTCACGACCTATGACATACTTCGACACGCTGGGCTCAAGTCCATCGGACAACGAACTGCCTCCGTTCCGAGATCACGAAGCGTCGGTACAGAACGCGACC